CTAAGGTTCTCAGGTAGGATCTTCCCGCATCTTCTTAGCTTCTGCTAGTTGCCAGCCACCCTTGGTGTTCCTTGGTTTGCATCCTTTCAATCTCTCCTGTCATCAGATGTCATTCTCCCTGTGTGTATCTGTGCCCAAATTTACCTCTTGTTATAAGGATACTACCTTAATCCAGGAGGATCTCGTTTTAACATCATTGCATCTTCAAAGAGCCTATTTCCAAATAAGGTCACATTCACAGGTACTGGTGGCTAGGTCTTGAATGTATCTCTTTGATGGAAATAGTTCAAAATAACCAACCATCTTCTCTATGCAGATTCCTCATGCAGGTATTTAGTGTGGCTCCAAATTCTTATCCCACCCCCCATATTCCATGACTATTTTAATGCAGAATTTTCTCTGCACAGAATGACTTCCTTGTGTCATTCTCTTTCCCCTTTCTACATGAACATTTTACCCATTTCTTAAAACTTTTATTAGATGCATTTCTTGGATGATTCTCTTTTGAAAGCCACAAATCAAATATGATTCCTTGTATTTCTGCCTTTATTTTCTTCATATGAATTACATTTCAATAATTGTTTGAATACTTCCAACTATTGTAGAAAGTGGGTTGTTTAAAAGAAGAAAATAATTCTTTTTTTTACCCTATAATTCCACAATAGTTTTGTGCTTTGCACATAGGGTCACACATCAGAAAAATAGATGTTTTGAAAATACAGGGCTTGTGTGTTTGTTTTAAACATGTTAGAATAAGTAAAATCTTAGTTTATACACTCTTCTCTGGATTGCTCTCTGCTTCAAACAGGAACAATGTTAGATATAAAAGCATTGTACAGTTATTATCTGAAACATATAAGGCAATTATTCTGCCTGCAGGCTCCGGCTCATTTTGTGATCTTTGGAAAGGCAGTTGCCTTTACCAATTAATAAAAGTAGAACTCACATGAAAAATTTCACAAATGAGAAGAGCCAAAGAATAATTATTATTGAATATCATTCAAGTGCAATTGCTTGATGTTTTTACTTCATTCTTGTGTGGACCAAAATGAAAACGAACATGAAAATCCTAATGATACAAAGATAAATGTGAAATAGAAGTTACTAAAAGTAAAAAGCCTGAGTTTGTCATCTTTATTTCCCAATCCTGGTTTTTAAAAAAACTGCACAATGTTAGTCAAAGACCCTGCTATAGGTTATATGTGTACTTACAAGTGTGCATGCCTTTTATGTATACATACACATTTTTATTCCTATTTGATATTGCCTGTGTATTTAAATTAGAAAATGTGTTATGATTAAAATTGAGGTGATTGATTTTACTTTTTTCTTTTTAATACGTAATGAGTTCAAATAAATTCCTAGCCTTTATTGGCAATCTTTTCCTGGTGGGTGATATATCTTTTTTTTTTTTTTATAAAGATAACTATCCACCAATGCTTTTGAGCCCTCTGCATTAATATATAGGCATCTCTGTTCATATATTACATCAGGTTTAGTGTTTGTATTTATGAGCTAATAAGAGCTATTTATTGGTAAAATTATTTGGGCACCGCTTATTAAGTAAGCACCGCGTCCACCCAATATATTGCAATTGTTACTACTTCACCTAATAAAGATTGTTGTGGATTGAAAGTATTACTAGGACCCAGAGATTTCTTGCCCATGATATTGTTCCCTTTTAGCATTCAGTGCTGCTGCCCATGCTCACATTCTCATTATTGCTCATATTTATTGTTGGTTGGTGTTTCAGACCATGCTGTGTAGTGACATCAGCTAATTTCAAGTATTGTGGTAAGGGTCTCTGTCAGGTAACATTGGATATCATAGATGGCTGTTCTTGAATATCTTCATTAGCTGCCTTTTAGTTTTTAATTAGGATTTAAATTAGATTTCTTACTGTGATGGCTCCCCACAAATGTGCTATACTCCTCCAGAAACTTACCAAGTGTTTTCACCATTGGTTTCCAAAGCACTTAATAGTAAATAGTAAATGATGCATTTTCTTCTTTAAAATCTGGGGTTGTTTTCTTTATTTAGTCATATAAACAGGAGCATGGCAGGGAATAGTAAACCAAATGTGGCTACAGAATTCTTGAGATGGAAACATGCTTCTCATGTGGAAGGCATAGTCCGGAGTCTAGTGTGGCAGGGACTGTGGGGAGTTCAGAAGGGTAGCGGGACAGGTTTTGTAGTCCTGTTGGCCCTGGCGAAGACTTGGCTCTCGCTCTAAATAAGATGGTAGCCTTCAGAGGGTTTTGAGCAGAAGAAGCATGATCTGATCAGAAGGATAGCCCTGGCTCCTGGGTTAAGGCTAGACTCTAGAGGACAAGGATGGAGGAGGGAGACCAGTTAAAAGGCTACTGCAGTATTCCAGGTGGTTGTGACCAGGGAAGGGTGGAAGTGTGAGAATCAATTTGGCCATAGACATAGACATAGACATAGACATAGACATTGACGATGGTTATTCCTAATCAATCATTGTTCCCTACACTTTGTCAACAGGCTTCATTTCAATCATCTCATTCTCACTAACTCTTCTTAAGCAGAGCTTCAAATTGTTCTAGCACCTCCACTCCAATACATTTTTTAAACGACATCAGAAGCTACAATTCATTGATCCAGTTCATTGTCCTTTCTGGCTTCATTTCCTTCCCTATTCAGCTTAGATTTCATGGGCCCATTTAAATTCGTTGCATGGCAGGAACCAGACAGCTGAACCTCTATCAACAAAAACTCACAAACATGTTTACTGGCCTCATTCACTGACCTTGCAGACAGGTGTCCTGGCCCGCACTGGGTGAATTGTTTCTATATAAAGGCAAACTCTTCCAGTTAGATACTAGATCTTTCCATTCTTACTTAGTCAAAACGTTGCTCTAGCAAATGTGTCTTCTCTCTCAAAAACCAAACAAAGATGGTATTATAATACTCGTCTTTCAAAAACCCTTCCTTGTACCTTATCCATTTCTCTAGGTATCACCTATTTCTTGGCCCCTCACAGTACTTTTCAGGAGTTCACCTCATTGTATTTTTACTTCCTCTATTCCCATTCTTAATTGGATGGAAAATAATACAATGTTATTAAATAACAGCACAGGAATAAACTTTGTTTCGAGAACTCCCAACTGTAAACCTACTTTTGCTTCAACCTGTATAAAATAGGAAATAGTTTTCTTGAGTGATTTATAAATATTCCTAAAATTCAGTTCTAAAATAATAGCTTCTAAAATGATTTGCTCTAGAGCAGCGTTAATGGAATGAATATTTAATTTACCAAATTATCACTTACAAAGATAATGATTATTGGCTATATAGGTTCTGGATTATTGTTTAAAATTTATCTCCATTCTTTATAATCACAATTTCAATTAACATCCCACAAACAATTCAAATACTTATTTATTAGTCTGTAATGTTGATAAAATATTGACTCAAACTATACTGCTTGAGTTCAATACTGGCTCTATTATTGTCTAGCTATGTTATCACAGACAAGTCCCTGAAATGCTCCATGCCTTAATTTCCCCACTTGAAAAATTGAGATAATAAGAGTGTCTACCCAGCCCAGGCTAGATGGGCTCCATTGGTTGGAATGTCATCCTATACACCAAAAGGTTGTGGATTTGATCCCTGGCTGGGGCATTTATAGGAGACAAGCAATCAATATTTTTCTTCTTTCTCTCTCTCTCTTTCTCTTTCTCCTTCTTTCCTTCTCCCCCTCTTTCCCTCTCCCTTTCTCTAAAGTCAATAAAAACATGTCCTTAGGTGAGAATTAAAAATAAAAATGAGTGTGTCTTCAGAATCTCTAAGTAGGGTCAAATGAGATCATGTGCTTAAGTGTTTAGGACAGTGCCTGCAACAGAGTAAGAAACAGGAACTGTGTTATGAATAAAATAATTCTATGGAGATTTTTTGTTACTAAAGCCTCCTGGGAACTTGAGGCAAAATAGAATATCTAAAAGGTTAAAGACATTTCAAGGTTTTGGGAATTATTTAATATAACCATAAAATTGACAGTGGAGGCACTATTAGTTATCTACAAAGTGAGAGAATTAGCCAACAAATGCCATAGGCATTCAAATGAGAAAGATTACTTATAGTGACAGTGGTTTATAATTTACGGTGAGATTTTTGTTTTTTAAATGTCTCGTTTCAATTATAATAAAACTGAGATATGTACCCATAAAGTGCCAGTTTTGATGTGTGAATAGGCAGAAGCATAGGAGTTCAGTACAAACTTGATTAGATGCCATAAGAGAAACTCTTCTGAAACACACATACCTATTTTCGTGTGTATAGGAAGCTGCCATTATATCGGTCCCATCCGCACTGGACTGTCACACTGCTGACCAAGTTGTTTTACATGTGCATGTACTTTAAATTTATTATAGGGGGCCGAAACCGGTTTAGCTCAGTGGATAGAGCGTTGGTCTGTGGACTGAGGGGTCCCAGGTTAGATTCCGGTCAAGGGCATGTACATTGGTTGCGGGCACATCCCAGATAGGGGCTGTGCTAGAGGCAGTGGTTGATGTTTCTCTCTCATCGATGTTTCTAGCTCTCTATCCCTCTCCCTTTCTCTCTGTAAAAAAATCAATAAACTATATATTAACAAATAATAATAAAATAAATTTATTATACGGGATTAACAATCACTGGGATTTACTTTTACCTGGCACAATTATACAATTATGGAAGATACAACTTTAATCAACAAATATTAATTGAGCAACTACTATGGACAAGACACAGTTTTCTCATGCCAAGAACATATATATTCCCAAATAAAAATGTAAAACTGACGTAGTAATAGTGGATTCTTGTGATTTCATTGTCTATGCCTTTCAAATAGACATGCTTTCCTGACATGTCATTAATTGCCATGAGCCCCGGAACTTAGAAGCTCTGAGCACAAGGGGACAAAGTAATTTCAAAGTTTGTCTCCAGAAAAGGGAGTGGGGAAGATCTAAAACTTGTTTTCTCTCTCTTTCCCCCTCTAGTTGGCCCGTCACAACAAATTATTACAGCAGATGCTCAAACCAGGATCAGATCCAGATGATGGAGACGAAGCCTTAAAGTATTATGCCAACCACACGGCACAGATTGAGGTAACTCTCCATTACTTCTTGAAAGGAACTAACTGTGAAAAGATATATGTACTTTCTATTTTCAGACCTTTTCCGTAAGTGTTTCCCAGAACAGTGAAGCCAAACTGATATAAACTGTAAAAATATGCACTAAAAGATGAGAGGTGAGGAGGGATCTACAAAAATTTGAGGCACGCAACGTTTTTTCCAAGTTATCTTTTGTGTTTTGGCCAGGACTGTATTTAGTTTCCTTTTGTAACTAATAAAGTAGTTTTGGTTCTGTTTTGTTTTGGTCGTGGAAGCTGTCATTGCAGAGCAGTGATGTTTTAGAGGGAAAAAAAAAAAAATATATATATATATAATAGAAGTGGTCATTTAAGAAAAGGTTTCTTTTTAAAAATTATAGAAGGCTTATTAAAATAGAGTTCTCTGTGTAAGAAAGCATTCGAAAGTATAAGAAACACTGAAGTCACTAATAATGTTTTTATATTGCTGGTATGAACTTGGGATGGTTTAACAGTTTCCATTCTCAGTATGTGACAGCTGACCTTCCCACCCCCATAAATGAGACATTCTTTAATGGCCAGTGGCAGCTCAGAAGGTGTGGGTCCACACAGACTTATCATTATGTGTTGTGAGACCCATCTGGCTGTCATTTACCAGCTATGGTGTCATTCTGACGCTAGTTGGCAAGGCTAATCGGGCAGAAGTGAGGAGAGTGGTTGACACTTGTCGCTAGTAATTTGCATCCAAACATTCATTCACTTTGGTGGATATAGTTCAGTTTTCAGCAGAGTGCATGGTGGGTATCACTGCTCTTCACTCTCGTGGTATACGGTCACTGGACCTTATTGTGTACTGTTGCCAAACCTTTGGAATAATGAGCATTATGACCTGTGTCACAGAATGGATCTCTTGCTAGCATTTATAAACATTAATATTCCTGTGGCTTTTGTGGGAGACTTGACCTAATGGAAACTATTAGATGGACCAGCAGCAAAGCGTTGCTTTCTGCATCAAGTGCTTAGGAACCGGAGGCTGGCAAAGTCAGGGCGCTGGGGAAATGGATACAAATAGATCACCAAACCAGAGTGGTTCTAAAGAAGGTCCCAGAAGCCAAAGTGCGAAGCTAGGTGATTAGAAGAGATCGGGAACAGCAGGGAGAGTGGGTGAGCCAGAGGTGAGGATTAGGGTGTGTGAGAAATGGGGCTATAGTTGAAATCCTGCTTTTATTGGTTTCCCAGCAGTGAGGTAAGATTTAGCTGGAAATACATGAATTCATTAAATACTTACTGAGCATTTACGCTCTACCAATTCTCATGCTCATTCAAAGACCACCTCATATAACCTGCCCTCCTTTCTTCACAACATTCTTTCATTCCCGCTCCTGCCACAGGGTGGTCATTCTGTTAGTGTAACATGTGATATTGCTTCTTATGTGCCACTTGTCCTCTTCATGAGGCAGGTCTCAGTCATCTTTGTATTTCCGAAACTGAACACTGCATCTGGCATATAACCACAATGGTGAATGTTGTGGAAAATCAGAGTTTGTCTATAAGTTATAGACTCAAAGATCCTGGGAAGTAGGAAGCACCTTGAGGATTATCTGGTCTACTCACCCATCCAAGGAGGAATTGCTTTATGATAGCTCTGTTCTGCCTTCAGTTCTTCCTGTGCTAGAGACTTCAGTACTTTAGGGGGAACTGATCCAATTTGGAACTCTAATAATTAGGAAAAAATCTTTTCTGATCAAGAATGCACACTATGCCCGACCAGTATGGTTCAGTGATTGAGTGTTGACCTATGAACTGGTCAGGGCACATGCTGGGGTTGGGGGCTCAATCCCCATTAGGGGGCATGCAGGAAGCAGCTGATAAATGATTCTCATCATTGATGTTTCTCTCTCTCTCCCTCTACCTTCCTCTCTCTGAAATCAATGATGATGATGATGAGGAGGAGGAGGAGGAGGAGGATGAGGATGATGAGGATGATGATGATGATGTCTTCACACAAGCAGGCTTTTCCATCTTTCTCCTCAGCCTTCCTTGTTATGTTACTGATGTCTCGCCTCCTGGCTGTAAAATGGCTGCACAGTTTCAGGCATCATCCCTTCATATGACCTTTTGTTCTCAGCAGGAACAAAGAATATACAGGCAAAAAGCACTTTTGTGTTAGCTATTTTTTGTTGTTGTTGTTGTTATTATTTTGTTGGTCTCAAAGGCTCTCTACCTTTTTGGAAACAAAATCTTTCCTGAAAGCCTCCCTTACCCCCCAGGATATTTCTCCTCATGCCTCATTCTCCAGAAGTAGGTTACATGCTCACCAACACCGAATCAGTGGCAGAGGGAAACAGGCCACTCTTCTGGTTTAGGCCAGTCTTGATTCATTCTTGAGGGTTGGTCAGCATATGCAAATGTGAACCTTTAGATTTGGTTTTCACAGACCCTTGTTACATAGTAAAACTATATGGAAATATTCAGCCTGGTTTGTTTTTTTAATCTAACATTAAATTGTCACAAATACCAAATAAGGAAAGTTCAAAATAATTAATATTTATATATAGGTATATGCTAGGATGGATATTCTACCTAACAAAAATTATGGGTTACCACAAATAGGAAAATATGTAAAGTATTCCAATAAAGGACTGTCTAGGGTACTTCAAACTGGCCTGTTTTGTTTTTTTCTTCATTCACTGATTTCATAAAATATCTTTAACATAAAAACGAAACAAAACAGTATGCTAAGGCCAAGGTGCTACAGGCTAAAGCGCCTGTGGATTAATGTTTGCAGATTGTCCGGCACGACAGGACCATGGAGCAGATAGTCTTTCCTGTCCCCAACATATGTGAATACCTGACGCGGGAGTCCAAGTGCCGTGTGTTCACGATGACTGAAAGGGACGAGCAAGGCAGCAAAGTGAACGACTTCTTCCAGCAGACAGAGGACCTCTACAATGAGATGAAGTGGCAGAAGAAAATCAGGAGTAAGTACCGTAAACAAACGGTGAGTTTGGGGTGTCGTGGTAGACCCATTGGTACTTTGGGACACAGGACACTCCTTAGTTAAACTGGTTTTTAATTTCTTGCCATCCGATGTTCCTGAGATCCCCTATAGCCTTAAGAATGTAAGTTCAGTCTACCGCTGGAGCCAAGACACCTGCAGCTTCATGCAACAGAAACCTCTGCCTTAGATCAGCTTCCAGTGCTGATCCTATGGTTTTATAAATATGATGAAATACGAGGTTGCAGTTGTATGTTTTAACTGTAGAACAGCTGCAGGTTTGAAGTCCCCACATGGGCCCGGACTGGCCTTAACACTCAGCGAGTGGCATGGAGATGCCGGTCCTGGCACGCTCATCCTCTCTCGCCTTAGGATCTTAGGATGGAGTGGATTGTTTCACGATTTTCTGAAAGTCTTTCTTTCCCCATATCTGTACATTGCCAAATCAAATTAAAAATTATGTGATGCTTGTATTCTCACAGTTATCATTTTAAAATAAAATAAAAATGAGTTTCTCAGGCCTCCCATTTGTTTGGAAATACTCAATCTACAAATTTAAAAATTTGAGAATTTAAAATAAAATTTCATTTTCCAACGTAACTAATATCATGGGCTTTCAACAAAAATAGATAGAAGAAAACTCTTGATTAGGTCTTTTTCTTTTTGTCTTTTGGGGACGTTTTCCAGACAAGCAGGCGTATGTTCCTCAATATCTCTATTCAGCATTATGTCGTCATTCTAGTGTCCTAGGAATTTTAACAATTGTGGGTTTTGAATTTGAGTGGATCCTGAGACACACCATCTTTGAAGATAAGGTGGCGGCATGCATTGCCAGACTTTCCTAGCAGAATATTTGAAAAAATAAAGAAATTAATCTCCCATAGCATTTTACTAGGTAGAATCTTATGAAGTTCAGAGGAAATTTTGGGTGTCCAGAATACATATGAATACTTGACGTTTTTATTTGAGAAATTAGAAAAACATCCATTTTTATCTTTGACAAAAGGTAAATTGAGAAATGAACTCATGTTTGTGGGGTCTGAGCTTTTTTTTTTTTTTTTTTTTTATAAATATTTTTTCATTTATAAAAAGAAATCTTCAAATAAATTCCAGTACATGGTTTACTTTAAAAAATTGGAAACACCTTACTGTGAGGTTATAAATAGGATCTAATTCATTTGATGGATCCATTACCAATGTCTGCTTCATCCTCTTCTAACTTCACCTTCATATTCTGCTTTTAACAGTGAGGACTCCTTATCCCAAATTATGGAGATGCATATGCTTACCGTTTATGATACATTAGTAACTTAATGTCATGGTTAGTTGTAGCCTATTCTAGTGTTGAAATGCTCCCTTCCCAGAGAAGATGACACAATGTATTTAAGGGTAGTTTAGTTTATCAGTAAGCAACAGATCCCAGATATTGGAATTCACAGAAAATAATTGGAAAAGTTAAGCATTTTCATTTTTATTTATGCTTTTCCCCTTCAATTCATTCCATATTAAGTTAGAGAATGGACAAGACCTGAAAAGTCATGTGGTCAAACTTACATGCATTACACATCTGTTCAACTACTTAGGAGTGGTAGAAAAAAAAACACAGATTTTTGTTTGATGTAAATTGTATGCAATAGATGCATTTGCTGTTTCTTTTCTGATGACAAAGAGTTCCTTTTCTGAAATTATTAAGCAAAGCCATTGTCACTTGTGGGTAGTTATTGTATATTTCACTTTCTTCTGCTATTGCAAACCCAATAAGTTCTTGTAAAATCACTATTCCCAAGAAGTAGTACCATGCCATGCTATTAAGTTTCAGAATTTCAGGTAACTGTGTCTGTGTCATAGGAATTTTCATCAGAGATAGATCTGTGCCAGGGTTTTGTTTTTGTTTTTTTATTTGACTTTAAGGCATTGGCATGGGACAAATGTATTAGCTTTACTATTATATATTATATAGCAGTGTGTACCATTCCATTAAAAGTGGCCTCAAGCAGCTGCTAACCTATCTTTTCCCTAATCTTCTCTAGGGATATCTTAGAGAGAATTAATACAGAATCACCTTTCCTATCCATAATTAGCAATTGCAAAATTATGCACCCTTCTACAATGGTTTGATGAAGAAATCAAATAGAAAACTTCTTCATGGTATTGATTATCAACTTTTAAAATAGGGCATATTAAGTGTTTATTTAAATATGCTTTAGACTAGTTTACAAAAATACTTTTAGGAAAATGTTATTGCAGTAGGGTTGATGTGTGGAAACCAAAATTTATTTTTCTGTTTTATCCCATTGCACGTCTTCCTTGCTAGATAATCCTGCTCTGTTCTGGTTCTCGAGACACATATCTCTCTGGGGGAGCATCTCCTTCAACTTGGCCGTGTTCATCAATTTAGCTGTTGCTCTCTTCTACCCATTTGGGGACGATGGAGATGAAGGCAAGTGCTTGTCTTTCTTTAAATGATAAATATTTTAAAGTTCTAAAATAACACTCTCAATGCAGATCTTAGCTGATTAGAGCTTCAAAATAATAATGATTTAATTCTTGTTAAATCAATTTTTCTATAGTTGTTAGAAGTAGAGGATTGTAGTAAGTGACATAGGCAGAAAACTATGGTCAACAAAAATGTTATTTTTAAAAAACTCAGATACAGAAGAGCTATTTTACATATTGATAAATAAAGCACTGAAAGTTGTTATTTCTACCTATTATTGCCCAAAGCATTTTTATACATCATCATATCAATTATATAAATACTAGTGGCCCAGTGCACAGATTTGTGCAGATTGTAAGGAAATTAATTAGAAGAAATATTTTAATAATGCTGTTTGCCCTTTCTCTATAATAGAAGTGTCAGAGAAGTAAGAAAATTAGTAAAATGAATATGAAAATAATATATAAATTGATTAATAAATAATAATAACATGATATAACAACAGAAACATAATATAAAAACTACAAAAGCATGATATAAAAAAACATTGATAGAAACAATGACTGATAAATTGATTAAACTTATTCTAATATCTCCCTGTATACCACATTAAGAATAAAAATATTTTCAGAGTGCTTGACTAATTTGCCTTGTGATAAAGTATTTATAACTTTAACTTTAATGTCACACACTCTTCGAATTCAAGAGAAAGCAATATATAACTGACCATGTCCAAAAACAGGTTCAGGCAGGAATATTCCTATTCTATCTAGAATTTGTCCTTGTGATTTATTAATGATCATTGCAAATGCTGGCATCACGGGAAACTGTCTTTGAATTAATTTAAATGGGAGGCATGTGAGATGAGGACAAATATTGTGTATGCACGAGTCAATGTTTATTTTTAAATTGCCAGTGTGCATCATAGGTACTGCTGGTTGGTTAGTCAGATAAATGTGCAGTTGGTCAGTTAGCCTTTTATATATATTGATATGAGAAAATTAAGAGTTATGCCAAAATATATTCATGTGATTACTTTAAATAGTGGAATTTACATTTTTCTTCTCTTTGTTTTCTGTCTTGTAATGAGTATTCTGTTTTTATAATGAGTATACATGAAATCTGAAATATATTTAAAAATTTAATATGACAGAATATGATAATATCCCAGAATAAAAGATTAACTCATTTCTAGACTAGGGCTTCTTTACATGAATGATTGACTATGGAGTTAATATTAAACTAATATTACATGAGGTTTTACAAAGGCAAAGACAAGAAAAATTATCTCATAGTAATGAAATGGGAAGTATAAGAGAAATATTTCAAAGGGTGGGACTGTAGAAATTGTTTTAAGTCTGGAAGAGTGAATGGGAAACACTGTTACTGGCTTGGGATATGGTCAGGTGAATAACTTTGGAGTGTGTGTGGAAAGAATGGGTTGGAGGAAAAGATGAGTTATCCTATATAATAAAAGCCTAATATGCTCAGTGTCTGGTTGTCCTTTCAACCAATCAATGCGTAATATGCTCATGATATGCCTAGGCCACTCAACTGCTCACTATGACATGCACTGACCACAAGGGAGCAGATGCTCCAAATGGTAGGTTAGCTTGCTGCTGGAGTTCAGCCTGTCAGACTGAGTGAGACAGGCTGGATATGCCCTGGAGCCTTCCACGGTCCCTCCCCAGCTGGCCAACCTCCTGTGTCCCTCCCTGGCTTCAATTGTGCACCAGTGGGGTCCCTCAGCCTGGCTGTACCCTCACAATCCAGGACTCCTAGTGGGAGGTTGGTTTCAATCCAATCCCGCTCAACACAGCAGCTGCCGCCTGGTGGACAGTGCATACCCATAGGGGGAGTACCCTTCATCCAGAAGCTGGGCTCATGGTTGGCTAGTATAGCAGCGGTGGTGGGAGCCTTTCCTGTGGGCCTAAGCCAGCAGTCAGACATCCTCTGAAGGCTCCTAGACTGTAAGAGGGTGCAGGCCAAGCTGAGGGACCACCCACCTCAGTGCACAAATTTTGTCCACCAGGCCTTTAGTCAGTGAATAATCACCACAAGAATACCCAAGATGTCTCATCTGTCCGTAGGATTATTGTGAGACTTTAATGAGGTTTTATGAATAAAGCATTTAGAATAGTATCTGGAAATCATTCAATAAACTTTAGTTGTTGTAGATGTTGATAGAAGGTAAATGTTACTACTACACAGGGAAGCCCAATGAAAGAGATGGTAGGATAAGAGCAATGCTTATTTAAATCTATAGCAGATGAACTAGAGGTGAACAGGAAGGAAAATAAAACCCCATGAGTAATTTACTCTTTTAAAGGTCCAGTAAGATAATAAATATCAAAGTTCTAACATTTAGGTAAGATGATCATGACTAAAGTTTGACCTTTTGGAAGGCATTCCAGTGCTAAAGGAAAGATATTTGACAGTGGAGCGGATGTATGAGTTAAATAGCAATGACAAACATAGCAAATATCTGGCCACCCATTGTGGGGAAGGTACAAATACAACAGGAAGTGGGACAGCTTTCCTCTTCACTGTTTCATCTCATTTCATGCTGAGGGCACCCTATAAGAATGGAACTCTTATAGGAAAGAAGTCCATCTTGAAGTGATAAATTAGTATCATATGCACACAGGTGGTAAGACTTGTAGAAGCATAAAGTCTTAGATATGGAAATTATCTAATATCAAACCTTTATTTGACAGAGAAAGGGAAGTGGACCCATAGAGGCTAAAATATGGCAGATGGCAGAGTAGAGGGTTCACTGGTTCTAATCCAAGACTTGTCTACATGGATGATTGGATTGGAAGAATAATAGGAAGATAACAAATCTTTATACACAACATAATTTTTTTCTGGGTTCCATTCCATGCTATTTTTTACTTCACATTAGAGCCAATGTATGTAGCCTCTGCTGACCCCTATTGAACATGAAATATTAATGGTGATGGGCAGTACCATCCCTCGAGACATCTACTCATTTAGGAGAAAGTAGAATCCTTGATGCATTTTTATTTTTAAATATATTTTATTGATTTTTTTACAAAGAGGAAAGGAGAGGGATAGGGAGTTAGAAACACCAATGAGAGAGAATCATCTATCAGCTGCCTCTTGCACACCTCTGATGGGGGATGTGCCCGCAACCCAGATACATGCCCTTGACTGGAATCAAACCCAGGACCTTTCAGTCCACAGGCAGATGCTCTATCCTCTGAGCCAAACCGGTTTCGACCTTGATGCATTTTTAATTGTTACCTGACTAATACCAGAATAGTAATATTAATCATAATGATAACAATGGATGCTATTTATTGATCAGATCGGGTTAGGCCAGTGGCCGGCAAACTCATTAGTCAACAGAGCCAAATATCTACAGTACAATGATTAAAATTTCTTTTGAGAGCCAAATTTTTTAAACTTAAACTTCTTCTAACACCACTTCTTCAAAATAGACTTGCCCAGGCCATGGCATTTTTGGAAGAGCGACACTCAAGGGGCCAAAGAGCTGAATGTGGCTCTCGAGCTGCAGTTTGCTGACCACTGTTATAGGGCCCTCCACCTTCCCACCCATCTGCAGATAATATTTCATTGTCAGGCTTTAGGAGCTCTGTTTTAACTTGTTTAGGAATCCATGCCTTATGTGTGTGGCTGTAGGCTTGTTTTGTTTTGTTTTTTAATTTGGTTAATTGGTTTCTTTGTTTAGCATATGTTTCTACAAAGAAGAAACCTGTGCTGAAGTTGAGATGTGAGCCTAAGCTGGGTGTGGCTGTGGCAGCAGCTGTTGATGCTAGGGAATCGCCTGGCTGTCCATTCAGAAGTTGAACAGTGCCATGCCTACCATCCCTGCCCAGTTCGGCAAGGGTGGGCTCGTTAGTGGAGTAAACTGTTGTTGAGGGAATTTCTTATATCAGATAGCATGTGATTTAAAAAAAATACATCATATTTGAATGTGGATGTAGTTCTTTTTCCCCTAAAGTATTTTATGTTAAAGAAAATACGTTTCTCGCCAAAGCCGGTTTAGCTCAGTGGTAGAGCATCGGTCTGCGGACTGAAAGGTCCCAGGTTCAATTCCGGTCAGGGGCATGTACCTTGGTTGCAGGCACATCCCCAGTGCGGGGTGTGCAGGAGGCAGCTGGTCGGTGTTTTTCTCTCATCGACATTTCTAGCTCTCTTTCTCTCTTCCTTCCTCTCTGTAAAAAATCAATAAAATATATATTTTTTTTAAAAGAAAAGAAAATACATTTCTCAAGGTGATTTTGATTCATTCAACTCAGTTACAACCATTATATGCCAGGCACTCTGCTACACCCTGGAGATACAAAGGTTGGCAAAGCTGTCCTTTCTTCAAGGAACTCATGGTCTAGAGAAGGAATGAAGTAAAGAATAAAACACAGTAGTGAAGACCACCTTTGGATTTACGGGTGGATGTCTACTCTGATTGCAGTGAGGTGGAGAAAACAGAAAAGTCTTATGAGTCTATTAGTATGTGTGAGGCCGATGATTAGAGAGACTGGAAAGTAAAAAGCAGCATGTTCTGTACAGGAAACTATCAACAAGTCAGTGTCAGGTAGACAGGAGAGTTCCATTCTGTGAATTAAATTGAGGACTCTAATTTTGCTATTTGACTCTTCTTTTTAGAGGATAAACTTTATACTTTCTAAGATTTAAAAATGTATAGAATGCATTCTAAATTTCTTTTCATTATAAAAGCAATACATGCTTATTATAGAAATCAATACAAATATAAACTAAGTAGAGAAGACAGACCCCCTTCCTATCTTCATTGGGTAAAAGTTGGTTTGATAGTCCATATTGTCTTCTCTAGGGTTTGCCAGAGGATTTTGGTTTATATATATATATATATATATATATATATATATATATATATATATTTAGCATTAAATCTTCAACTATAAATCAATGGTTCTTCTTACAAAATATGATTTAAATTATTGTTAATTGACAATACTATAAATTAATAGCCATTTTATATAACTTTTAAGTTTATTTATTAATTCACAAATACATATTTAGCATGTATTTAGCATACTTAGCTATTTATCTAGCATGTACCTTGAATATGTGAATTCTTTCACTAAAGGGACCAAATGCCCAGTTTTAAGTGTATGATTATAATTTTTTGTTTAATCAAAAGGAAATCTCAGCAAGTCAAATACTATCTGAGAAAAATAGTCAAATTGTGGTTAGGTGATCAGGCATTCATGACAAAGCAGAGTATGACTATCAGAGTCAAAGCTGAGACTTTAAATAAGAATAACACATTGAATCATTACTTATAAATTGTACTGGAGTCCAATGACTGGCTAAAATTGTTAAATGTATAAAGATGTTGGCAGTTTTAGAGTGAAGCTCCACAGCTTGGGGAATTTGTAACTGGAGATTTAGTTGCTTAAAACAAGATGACAGATTATTTTGATTTATTCATTTAGTCAACAAATATTTATCTGTAACAGCATGCCAGGCACTGTGATAGACCCAGAAATGGTCCTTACCCTTACAGAGCTCATGTTTTGATGGTGTCCTGACAAGTATGAGAGAAAGTTGGAGGCATTATTCTCTTCGTGGCTCTTTGAGATCTGTGAAGTCAGGGCAGTTGGTGGTCAGGCTATGTTTTGTACACATAGGGTGCTTCCAAGCCAATATCATAATAAACATGAGTTGGGTGCCCATTTTGTTAATATTGCCAGAGGACAGGAATTGCAGGTGATTTCCATAGCAATTTACCCCTTTCTTCATCTCCCAAGTAATCTTATCAGATCATAAATTTGGTGAAAGGGCAATCAAATCTCTCCTCCCAACTCTCATTCATCATTGCTTGCTATAAGAGATAACATGATAAGAACAAACATTGCAAAAATAAGCACGTCTAAACCAGTGCTGTTTGCTATCTGAATTGTTTTTTTTTTTTTTATGTCTAACAGGATCCTCCTACCTACTTTTGATCTTTTAGCACTCACTGTGAACTAAAAGCTTACACAGAATTCATTGCCAGAGTCCAGATAATCCCATGGTTTTGATGGTAACACAAAAGCTCTACATACCACAGCCCTGCGGTGTTTTGATACAGAAATTAATTTTATAAATTATAAAGAGGTGTGGCCAAAAGATGCAACGAGTAGAAAAATCTCCCTTTTGTTGTTTCCCCTCTGACTTCATCAGCCTGTTCACATGTTTGAGGTTTTGGCGTTGGTCTAATGAGCCCAAGAATGTTGCCCCTTAATTTACTTCTGCAAACCCGGCACCACGTGATCTTCGGGGGGGGGGGGGTTCCTTGAATCCACATGTCAGTATAAACTTGTACATTTTTTTTTGACAGAACAAAATTTTAAATACCTTTTTGGACAATTTCAAAAAAAATTTGTTTCTGATTATTTAAATAGCTTACAAGTTTTTTAAGAACTTGAATTGACCTTCAAACACATACACTCATACATATTCATATATATTCTTGCATTTATATACACACACATGTGTTTTAAAAGTTACAATTTGTATCTATTTAATTAAGACTGGATATTCTACATTCTGAATTCTTTAGAGCCGTGGTTGGCAAACTATGGCTTGTGAACCACATGAGGCTTTTTGGCCCCTTGAGTGTAGTTCTTCCACAAATCACCATGGCATAGGCGAGTTTATTTTGAAGAAGTGGTGTTAGAAGAAGTTTAAGTTTAAAAAATTTGGCTCTCAAAAGAAATTTCAATCGTTATACTGTTGATATTTGGCTCTGTTGACTAATGAGTTTCCCCACCACTGCTTTATTGGAATCTATAATATAGAAACTTGATAATAATAGAACCTGACAGAGTATGAGTTCAGTGGAAAAATACACGATTTAGCTGTCCATTTAATAGCCATTAATTGTAAATTTTAAATTAAGGTTCCCAAATGGGATACTTCTGTCAAAATATTTAGCATATATAACTCCTGTAGGAGACAAAGATGAAGAAATCTCAGAGTTAATAGAAGGGGCATAATAGTGAGCATGTAAGAGGCCTGAAATTAATCACAAACTTTCTAGAAAGAAATGTAATGAATAACGTGTTCAAAGAAATCTCCTCTAAACACAGTGTGTGTAGGGTGTTTTGAAATTGTGTCCCATGCTTGACGTGCTGTACGTGTTATATGAAACACAGCGGCAAAGGTTTTAACATTTTCTAGATTTGTTCTTGGTAAAAATAAACTTTTTTCATATTTTACAGGTACACTCTCTCCATTGTTCTCAGTTCTTCTATGGATAGCAGTTGCAATCTGCACATCCATGCTATTTTTCTTCTCCAAGCCTGTGGGTATCCGGCCATTTCTTGTGTCTGTAATGCTCAGATCAATATATACAATAGGTCTTGGGCCCACGTTAATACTTCTTGGCGCAGCTAATGTAAGTATTTTGCTTTGTACTGTTATAGATTAATTAAAAGTGTACTAAATGTAAAAATTCAACTACATGCTTGAATTCATGTATACACAGTAAATTCTAATTTATTATGAATCCGAATTAACCAGAATTTAATTTGTACATTCTTAATTTTGAGAGAAAGAAAAAAAAATGACAAGTAAAATTTGATATATTTACGAAGGTAGCCCTTGGGGCATGACCCAGTTCTGCAATCAATTTAATCCAATCCAATTTTATTACCTTCTGCGTCCCATACCAGCAGCTATTGACAAAAATGACTTTGAGCCACTCTTAACATCCTAGTGACTTCTAAATCATCTAAGAAAGATTAAATTATATTCAGTAGAATTTTAGAACTGAGTACCTTTTATAAAATGACCAAGGAAAAGCGGTTGCTATGTGAGAAAACTATGAAACTGGGCTCTTTTTATGTGAGCAAGACCTATAAACTTGTGAAAGGCATAGATGAGATTCATTTTTTTTTTCCCTAAGTTTTAAAGTGTTAGAACAAGAAAGCACATTTCAAAATTTAAGTTAGGTAAGTTTAGAATAAGTAAGCCAAAGTACTCTTCCCAATAATGGCAGCTGTGCCCAAGAGAAAATTTTACAGGGACTGGACAACTTCCTGCAAGGGCGCTACGAAGGGATAGTGAAAAAAGGTAAATCATCAGGCTGATGAAAGAGCTAATGGCCAGGTAAACAAATAAATATTGTTAGTATGTTTGCTGCATACCTGAAGCATTTTTTTTTTAAATATATTGTGGGTTTCTAGCAAAATGTCCTGTATTCTGATAATCTATATTTAGGTATTATCTCCCTTACTACATTCAATGGTTCTTAAGGATAATAATTAATTATTCAATGTTTGGAATATCATTGGTATTCAACAAATATCCCTTAAATAAATTAGCGAAGGAGTGAGTGAATGAACGAGGGAAAGGTTATTTTTGTATTATACAGTTACCCTGCCTTGTACGTAAAATACATGGCAAATATTTATTGAAAATGAATAAATTAAATAGCCAAAATTTTGAGAATGAGAAAGCTGAGCTAATTAGAAAGTATGGCTAATCTGTTTCTGGTTTGAATATAATTATTTAAAAATTACATGTGGTATATATGACAGCTCCTAGTTAGCTAGAACATTCCGTAAACCAAATTGCCAATTATTCCTCAATCATTGTCAATAAAAGAGAGTGTACTACACATGCAAAGAGATCTATCAGCACAGAATTCTGCAAAGTACTGAATGTATTATTGTATAAATTTCTTGAGGGCAGAGGTTGTCACATTCATAGATATAATCCTACCCTCCTCACTCCTCCCAGCTCCCATTTTTTACCTTAATACCTGGCACTTAAGTATTTAAAAAATTGCTTACATGAACTGAACTTATACTTTCAGTGTTTTGGAAATAAGCTACTTCTGCAATATTGCCCATCAGGCTAATTAAGGAATCTTCATGGATGTATCTAAATTTTTACAAGCATATTGGTGTGTTGACTTTATTATTTTTTAAATACATTAAAGGGAGACATCTGTAATAGTGTCAAAAATAAATAAATAATTCTATAATAATAAAAGCATAATATGCTAATTAGACCAGACAAACTTCTGGACAACTTTCCGGACAAAGCTGTGGGGTCTAGATAGAGGCAGTCTCTGCAGCTGTGGGGGCCGAGCTCCTTGCATGAATTTCATGCATCAGGCCTCAAGTAAATAAATAAATAAATTAATTAATTAATAAACCATTAACCATCGAACCAAATTACTTGAAGGAGCAAGTAATATTTATAAAGAGGTAACTGGTCCTGAATAAGACATTAATCTAAGAGAGAAAAATCCAAGTTTCATAAAGTGAAATCATAGCCACGTTGAGTTAGGCCAAAACTATCAAACCTTCATGGGCCTCTTATATAATAGTCACTGAACACACCAAGAAGTAGAGGACGAGGGTCTCATCTCCCAGAAGCTTCAAGAATAGTATGTAAGGAGATAAGGAATATGAAGGTGAAAAGAATAATTAACAGTAGTAATGATATCATATATAGCAATAAAGCCCGCTATTTACCAAGCGCCTAATATATGGAATACAGTTTAACTGTAAAACGTTGCCATTGTGATCGTAGAGTGTTTGTAGTTTGGTCCACAGAGCTGTTTATGGACTCCGTGGCTTTCAGAGTGTTGAGCAAATGCAGAAAGTCCCTTTTTTGGAAGAGGATTCAAGTGGGAGGAAAGAACCTGGATCTTTGTTCTAAGCTGATAATCTATGTATTATCAGTTTCTATTATTATATCTCATTTTTATCTGCTTGTTTCTAAAAATTGGAGTCTCGTTTAAATTGCAGCTAGTTTCTCTATCTTGTCACAGGAGTCATCTCAGTATTGAGATGTTTCAAAAGATTCAGATGTTTTTCTCTGTTATAAAGTATATCTTATAAGCCAGTACAGTTTTCTTCCCATTCCCTATGTTACATTTTTAGTCATTGATAATGGAAATTAACATTTTATTTTTGCAAATATAAACACATTTTGTAAATTTGGGATCAGTTAATTTTTTAATACTATTAGTATTTTAAGTCTCATTTTAATAAGATAATATTTCCAGTCTTATGGTTGTTACATAATGTGTTTAACCATTTCATTAATTTGTATTGTTTCTATTTTAGATATTTTTAATAATAAATAATAATGTAGTAAATACCTGTGAAATATCTTTGAATATCTTCTAAACACTCATTATCTACCATTTTTTCCCCTTTTTAGGAGTGTCTAGAAATGTGTAATTTATTTAATGGCATTTATAAATCATTTCCTTTCTCACAATTATTTGTAATGTGGAAGTGTTCCCTTATTCTTGGATTTGGTCTCACCATTTTTGCAGAGAGGTAAAGCAAATTGGAGGTTAGCAGACAACTGTCTATTAATGCCCCAGTGTCAAAATTTAATAGTGTCATGCCCATAGTTACTTACAGTTTCCTGGGAAGGCTCATGATACTGCTAATCTATAAGGTTCTATGTGTTCATTTAACATAAATAAATTCAGTTATATATTCTGAATCAAAACTGTCATATCTTCTCTCTCCTCTCTCTCTCTCTCTCTCTCTCTCTCTCTCTCTCTCTCTCTCTCTCTCTCACACACACACACACACACACACACACACGCACACACACACATACTATTTCTCATATAATATGGTCACTGAATATTTCTAACTTCTAATATCAGTTGCAGAAACAGAAAACTGCTGCAGTGCTGGCGGAAATGGTAGTATCTGTCAAGTTTAGTAAAAGAGCAAACTTATACCACCCTTGTTCACTGCACTGTTAGTTGGAAATTTAGAAGATTTCCAGGCTGATTTTCACTACATGAAAATTTTGCCTTAGACTTTAACCTTAGAAACTTATCCTGCCTAAGATATAATGTCACTGAAATGGAGATTGTTTTAATCACATCATCTCATTTTTGAAGGTTGATGGAAATATGATAATATAGTTCAAAACAATTCAATTTAACTTCTCAATAAATAGTAGACAGTCTTTTTTTTTTTTTTGGTAACAATTTATTCCTGGAATATAGGTCATGTTTTCCCATAGGAAAAATGTAAGGTGGGGATAGAATTTCTGATCAGGGACATAGAACCAAATAAGATGCCAAGGATAATATAAAGGCAGTTATCCATTTCTGCAATTACATAAAATGGTAAAGTTGAAAGGACATCACAAATAATTCTAGAGCTATGAGGCACCTTAAGGCTTATTCGCAGCTACGCATTTCATTTTAGAAATGAGTATGCAGTGTCCTGTTAAAACCAGGAGAGTTCAGCAAAGTATTTAATGACAGAGCCAAGGCTGGAACCCAGGTGGTCCAGCTTCCCACGCAGGGTCTTTCCAGTGGACTGCAGTGTTAAAGTCCTGCAAAGACATCAATTTCCTGGCCCAGTTCGCTCAACCTCCATGATTGGTTGCCCTTGCCATAGAAACAGGGATTGTTATGTAATGGTGTTGACGAATGAAGGACTGATCAGACAACAGCAAGTACACTGAGTGGCCAGATTATTTTGATCTCTGAACATATAATAATCGGGCCACTCAGTGTATATCCTATATAATAAAAGGCTAATATGCAAATTGTCCCCTCCACCAGGAGTTCAACCAACAGGCAGGCCGGCCAATCACCCATGTCCCCTCCCCCTGGCCAGGCTAGCCGGACCCCACCCATGCACAAATTCATGCACTGGGCCTCTAATATATATATATATATATATATATATATATATATATATATATATATATATATATATATATATATATATATTACACACACACACACACACACACACACACACACACACACACACAGAGTGGCCAGATTATTATGTGTTCAGAGATCTTAATAATCTAGCCACTCAGTGTATGTCATGACATAAACCAGAGTTCAACTTCTTTCCTACCCATTTATTCTTGCATTTATTTTTCCTTGTTATGAACACTTCAAAAGACAACAATTTCTATGTTTCTGGTCTCTACAGAAATAGGTGGGTGCCACTGCCAGCATCCACTCCCCCACACTTCAAGGCTTCATCTAGAGAACAGGGATATATCCATCAACGTCTAACCCTCAGTCCAGACTAATAAAAAAAAATCTGAAAACGTAAAAGACAAACCTTTATTTTTTATGCAGAAGTAGCAGAGACCCTTTTTAGTTAGAAAAGAGACATTTCTTGCTTTTGCATTGAGAACTGAAATGTATTACTCTTTTGAGAATTTGAATTCAATGCATTACTTTCCTCAGTGTGAAGAGTTTATAAATAAATACTTTTTCCTGCATAATTGTTTTTATGATTCATTTTAGGAAAGTAGAGATCTGGAAGCAAAATATAAATAATTTGTCTTAAGCATATCACTCATCCTTCTGAAAAGTCAGAATTCTAATTTTTAACTATATTTTATAGAATTTCTTATTTCTGTTTTATATTGATGAACATAATGGGCTAATCAATATAAATGTAAATGATAGTCAGTCAAAACAATTGAAAGAGTAAAGCGCCAAATATCATTACATCATTCAGACATCTACTTTTCACCATTTTCATGATGTTTATTGTCAAATGCTAAATTTATATCAGCACCTTGTATATAGTTTCTCAGTTTTTAAAATACTGACTTCATATAATATTAAACTTGGTCTTGGTTAGTGAATATAAAGACATCTGTTCCACTGTAGCTCTTTTCAATAATGATCTATGAAGATGTAATAAATGAAACACTACATATTGAAGTAAGACTATTGGACATTATTTATATCGTTAGCAAGTTAGTGAAAGAATTGATAACATTGATTATTGAGAGGATAACTAAGTAGCAGGGAGGAGATTTAGAAAAGGTTTGAACTTTTTAGTTGCTATGTTGTTGATTTGATTTAGCTGTCTTCACACATACAATGCTAGCCCATTTCTCATTTTATCAGTATTGATTTGGACTTCAGAAAGTTGAAGGAAAATGTTTTTCCAACTTCACATATTTCAATTTTGCTTCAAAGTATTTTGCTCCTTCTTATGTTATAATTCCATGAGGCAATTTATTTCCTATACATTGAAAAAAAAACCCAACAATGTTGTAAAGAGAAACCTTTCCCCCCAAGGTTAGATTTGGATATATATAAAGACAAATATGGTGCCAATAGATAAAGAACTCAGAATAATTTGGAAGAAGAAATTGAAATTTTAAACTCTGTAATTCTTTCCTTGATGACAAAGAGCAAAACTAGTTTCTTTGGTTTATAAATAGTGCAGTGATTCTAGAACCAAATACATGGTTGTGATAATTGTGTTCTTTGGAAATCATCACACAAATCTGTTATTGCCAAAGACTCTTAGTTTACGTTTTCCGTATTATAAAATTATGCCACAAAAGGTAATATTAAACATGGTTTTAATATAATACGTTACATGATACCAGGCATACTAAACACTCCAACAATGTTTATTGAATTTACCACCCATAGAGCTTAGAGAATATCTGCACACATTATATTTATCTTAACCTACATATATAGGTATATTTACAATTTTTATCTATTTAAAATAAGTTAAATGCAAAAATAATTTTTATAGCTTATTTGTTTAAAATAATACTCAGTAAAGAAAGTCAAGGTTAAAAAATAATAATAACCAAGGACTGATATCTGGAAGACATTTTTCTTTTAAAGTTCTAGTATAAGAGAAATATTGCATAGGTTACTTTCAGTATGGGAAATATAATGAGTGGTATTTAGAGTCATTGCAGCCCAGCTGGTGTGGCCCAGTGGTTGAGCATTGACATGTGAACCAGGAGATCACGATTTAATCTTCAGTGGGGGGCATGCAAGAGGCAGACAATCAATGATTCTTTCCCTCTCCCTTCCTCTCTGAAGTCAATAAAATATATACTAAAAGTAAAATAGTCATTTCCTTAAGTGCTTCATACGCTTTATGAACTATTTAATCCTCTGACTAGCTCTATACGTTGGGAATCCCTTTATTCTAGTTTTTCAGAAGAAACAATCAGGCCTATAGGTGCACGACTCAAGCCATGCCAGCAGTGGCGAGAGCACCGAGATTTCAATTCAGGTGCATGCCAGCTGCATAATGGGGGCCCTTAATCATGCTCCCTGCTTTTCCTGGAACTGCAAAGGATACCAGTTGTTCTTGCACTATGTTTCCATGTAGATTTGTAAGTAGTGCTGAAAAATTACAAAATGAAAAATCGCGAAACAAAACCACACACTTGTGGACAATAGATTTTATCAGTGACCTGTTATTTATGTGCATTTGGAGGTAAATAACACAGTAAAACCTTTTTCTTCCCCCCCCCCCCCCTCTTCAGCTTTGTAATAAAATAGTATTTCTGGTGAGTTTTGTTGGAAACCGTGGCACGTTCACCCGAGGGTACCGAGCTGTCATCCTGGACATGGCCTTTCTCTACCATGTGGCGTATGTCCTGGTTTGCATGCTGGGCCTCTTTGTCCACGAATTCTTCTATAGCTTCCTGGTGAGTACATCTCTCTGTGGACAATTGCTGCTGGGGAAAAATGCACAATGCTTCTTCCTTTGATTTTATTTTTTTTTTCAAAGCAGGGCCTGACATTTAGGACACATTATGTTATTTTTAGAGTTTCCTAAGCAAAGCATGAATTGTTATTATTTTTAGTCTTTTTTTTTTCCCTCTGAGAAACTACATCTGTGGTGGAATTCTTTCTTTCCTCTCTGAGAAAGAACCAACAGTCCACGCTTGACCCAGGTTTCACAGAGCAGGCTGCTTGTGGTTCAGTGAAATCATATATCCATTTACATTTAGAGAGTCTCCGATGGAGTGTGGAAGGATAAAAAAGGGGGATATGTTTCCTTTGTACTGGAATCATTATATTTTATTTATGGTGCCAAGTATGTGTATCTTTACAGTGACAAATAAGTAAAATGAGGGAGAAAAGTGACAACCTAGCAAAAAGACAATGAGTTGTTTTAAGAAAAGTCTTACAGTTTCAGATTTAATGTCATTGTTAAGCTTATCTACATATACTTAACTCACTAAGTGAATTTTCAGATTTCTTCTACAGATTTCTGGTGTGTTTGTGTATTTTTGTGGAGTTTTTTTCTGGCTTTCAGTTTTTCTTCATGCATATATGTTTTACGGCCATAAACCAGGAGAGGAATCAATATAAATACAATAGATGATGTTTTGAAACTTAAAGCACTACCCGGTTAGCATTATGCATAGAAGCAATTTATTTATCTCCCCATCCCAGAGCTGACATGCAGGAGAGAGCACTTCTCAGGAAAATCACCTGAAAACAAGTTGAAGATCTAAAACCGTTATGCTGACCCAGTTTACTCGCCTCCTGCTTCCCTGTTATGTTATCTAGCACACCCGTGTAGGAAAGACTGAAAAAAAGCTAATTTTCCATTTACTTCCAAGCACTTGAAAGAGCCACAGTGAAGAGTGGATTTATCCCTTAGGTTTAGATTAAAAATTATCTTCCAGATGGTTAATCAGATTATTCACCAATCAAAGGAAATCTTTTTTTTTTCTTCTTCCCTGTTTCAGGGATCCCAATGAATTCCCTCTCTGCTTTGATTCACCTGAAAAATTTCATTTAAAGAAATCTGCTGTGGTATACAATTAAATTAAATTAAATTTTTTTTAAAAAAATCTGCCTGTGACCTACAGGGGTGGGCAAAGGTAGGGTTATTGTTATTTTTATGGGAAATAATACAATAATTAATAAATAATCATACAAGAATAAACTCTGCTATTGTTCCTCACAACTGTAAAACTACTTTTGCCCTGCCTTGTATAAAGTCCTAAGGTACCCAGCACTTTATCCTGACTATGATGTGTGTCTGCCTTCCTGTCTATAAGATGAGTAGGGGTAGTATAGGAGACTAGTATTAGCAATATCTATTAAAATGATAGTGTGAAATGAGGTATGTAAATATTTGTTTTACAAGTAAAGGTATTTGACAAAATAAAGTTGTGTTTGAATGATTGTATGAGTTATTAAGAGTAATGTTACTTTATGTTACTTAACCTTATTTTTTAGTTTTATTTCCTCTTGTCTTTTATCTCTCCAATCTTACACTAGGGATGCTGATGTTATCTGTTTTCATTGGGTTGGATATGGAAAGGAGATAGTCCATTTTGATGTTTAGAGTCCTAGAAAGAAATTGTAATGGACGTAATAACAAAATGGAATTTAAACATTTAAAAAGTATTTTTTTTTACTTTGAAATTATATGAATATGCATTCCTGGTTTTCTCCACAAATGTCAATTGTTTATTCAAAATAATAAAACCCACACTCTAGATTTTTCTTCTAGAAATAAACAGAAAGAACCATCAACCTGACCACGTTTTGCATTCTCAAGATTCTGATTCCACGAGGACAGGATGGGGCCCAGGCACATGCAGTTTTTGCAAGCATCCCAGAGGCTTCTGGAAAGCTCTATACTTCCAGAAACTATCCAGAAGTGACCCAGAGCCCATTGTCACTTTTATCTCAGTCACTATTGAAATAAACTTAAGAAAAACCTCCTTATGTCAAGTAGATAAGTTCACGTCAGAGTGCTGTATTTGCATTAGTTATTTGTCTGTTCTGAAGAATGTTGACTTCATATCCAGAGTTTGCTGCTCCCTCCAAAAGATACACAGCAGAATAGTTAAACCTTTTTGTTTTGTTTTTTACCATCATAGAATAACAGTTTCTAAGGTGAGCAAACCAGTTAATAACTTTACAGCAATTGTTTGTAAGACTACAATTAGATTGGAAAATGACTGTGTAACCCTCAGTGCTCAGGAAAGCAGGGTATAAGGGCCTGGTGTTTCTGAGATGATGCAGGACATAGATAACTGATCATTTCAACCAGTTTAGATGTTCCAATCACTCTCACAGGTAGCAGAAGACAAACCTCTCTTATTCAACTTTTTAAAATATTCTTTATTTCCAAATAGGTATTTATGGCTTTTTTAAGATAATATTAAATTATTGCTTTTAACCCGCTTTTGGAAATAAAACATGTAGTTGATAATGTATAATTTTGCGTAACAATAAGTAAAAGTGTTTCAGTGTTGACTACAGATAGCAAACACATACCTAGTAGGTTCTTGACTTGTGCATAGATTTTCTCCTACTAAACACATAATGGAAAACAATGCATTAGAGAAAGTGGATTAGCAAAATTGTGTATTAAATCTTTGTTTATACTTGTTTCCAAAAGTATATACTAAAGTAATATGTTTTATCCTCATTAAATGCCTTTATTAAGGAAAGGTGTTTGCATTTCTCAACTATTTTAAAATTTCATATCTATTTCTATTGCAGCAGGCTCATAAAATTATTCTCATAATTTCACCTCTAATCTCTTGATTAAACAATACATTTCAGGAGCCTATCCATTATTCATCACTTAGGTGAACTTAATTCAGCACTCTCACTTTAGTCATTTTACATAGTCTAGAATCAGCTGTAGAATATTAGTAAGAGTAAAAATAAGAAATAAGAAGCCAACAATGGACAGAGCGTCGGCTTCGGGACTGAAAGGTCCCGGGTTCGATTCTGGTCAAGGGCATGTACCTTGGTTGCGGGCATATCCCCAGTAGGGGGTGTGCAAGAGGCAGCTGATCGATGACTCTCTCTCATCGATGTTTCTAACTCTCTATCTCTCTCCCTTCCTCTCTGTACAAAATCAATAAAATATTTTTTTAAAAAAAGAAGCCAAGTTGGTTAAGTATAATACTACAATTTTTCTAAATTCACATATGAAGCGATGCTGTTTCATATCTTATACAACTGAAATTATGCTGGTTACAAAACCAATAGGTGCATGATATATGTTGTGTTAGGGTTCTCTTTATTGAAAAACAGTTCGTTAGTACATTTCAACTGGACAGCAATATATATTTTGGTTCATTTTTAAAGTGTCATTTAGGTTGTAATTTTTTCATAGATAAATTAAAATGGCTTGCATTGATATTTGTAATGACCTTTATACTTATTCATCTTTTACTCCTTGCATTTTTTGTGGATTTTTTTATTTTTTTAGCTTTTTGATTTGGTGTACAGAGAAGAGACTCTGCTCAATGTCATAAAAAGTGTCACCCGGAATGGCCGCTCCATTATTCTAACTGCAGTCCTCGCTCTCATCCTGGTCTACCTGTTTTCCATTATTGGGTTCCTTTTTCTGAAGGATGACTTCACTATGGAAGTGGATAGGCTGAAAAACAGAACTCCCATTACAGGTATTGCTATTACCACTAAATGAGCTTTCTCGGGTGGCAGATATGATTTGTAGGGAGCTTGTTAAGAGGATTACAGATAAACACTAATGGAGGAAATGTTTTCTTTCACTCCTTTGAAAAGATGCCTTGTTCACTAAAAGCTCACAACTGTGAAATACTTGTAGGCTGTATATTAGCTGTCAGTGTGTAGAGGAGTATTCCAGACCAGCAACATTATCCAAGCCCAGTATCAATAAGGAAGTTTCCATGACTATAATCCTGAAGACAGTCAACAACTTCAGTGAAGGGTAATTGCTTTGGGATGTTATTCCTCCTCTTTTTCCTTCTCTCCCGAGAACACACAACATCATTTACAACCATCCTGTGTAATCCTATATAATAAAGAGCTAATATGCTAATTAAATCAAACAGCAGAATGACCGTACAGACGAGCTTCCAGAAGAAGCTGGGGCTGCAAGGGCCCCTTGCACAAATTTTGTGCATCAGTCCTCCAGTTATTCTATATGTGTTTGCTCACAATACATCATAATTGTGCTTAAATAATTGGAAATGATAAATGTTTTGACCTGAAACCATCATTGAGTAAGAAATTTGGGATAGAAAAAATACTCAAAATATTGTCATTAAGGAGCTCAATCCATCAGTATGTGGCCATTAAAATTACTGTATAATATTTTTATTGGCTAACTGGTTAGACATTATTTATGCTCACTGTGATTCTTATAAGGGCTTATTCTTCCTATCTTATTTTGAATTTTTACTTATTATGCTTTCTAAAGATTTCTTTTAAAAAATAATTATTGATTAAGGTGTTACATATGTGTCTTTATTCCATTACCCTTCCCCCCCTCATGCCCTCGCCCCTCTGTTGTCTGTGTCCATTGGTTAGACTTATATGCATGCATACAAGTCCTTGGTTGATCTCTCCCCCATACTCTCACCCTCCCCTACTTTCCCTCTCAGGTTTAATGGTCTGATCGATGTTTCTCTGTCTCAGGATCTATTTTTATTTATTTTTTTAATCAATTCATGTTGTTCATTATATTTTATAAAGATTTCTTTTTACCACTTTCCTACCTTTTGTTGTTTTGGTTAAATTTCTTTGTTACTCTTTTTCCTCCTCTTCTAATTTACTGAATAGAAATCATAGTTCTGCACTTTGCTGTTAGCTTCTGTGCATGATTCTGCTGCCTATGGGTTATAGAGAATGAAAACCACAAAATTACCCACTCTCCCCTCAAGCTATTAAATTTAAAGGTATGATTTAATTAGATGTGCTTTATAAGCCATACTTTTTCTTGCCTTTAAATATTTGTTAATTATTAAACTAATGATATTTGGTAGTATCTTTCTTAGAATATGGGAAAAAATTAAGTGACATTTATATCTTTTATTAAGTCTAAGTGATTAAAACACAAAATAGAAAGATCATAGTTTGAAAGTTATTAAACTTGAGGCTGAATTTCATACTTATATCTTAGTCTTGATTAACAGGAACATGAAACATTGTATGTTACTGTGTTTGTTGTTCCTTAAATATTACTTTTTCCCAGAGTTTTGCAGGTGAAAATAATTGGAACAAAAGCTCAGATATATAAATACTCCCCTAAACTTGCTTTTACTAAACTGTCTGTGAATTATAAATTACTTATTCTCAAAATTCTTCAAGTTTTAATTGCTTGCAAGGCATTGCCACATTGAGCTATTCAGTTCAGGGTGAGTCTAAAGCCAAAGCATAGTAACTCCTGAATTAAAATTTATACAATAGCTATTGTTCTATGAATCCAGTAGTTGATATTTTTAATTGTGTTACTTAAAAGGAAATTAGTGTCATATTATGACAATATGTTCCTTAGAAATATAAAGATACCTTTTTTTCTTTTTTGCTTATAATATAGATAACACTAGACCTAAAATGTCAAGATCTCTACTAAAAGCACTTATGAATATTTACATAAAAAGCTGTTAAATAGGAGAAAGCATTAAATACTATGAATCTGGAATATGAGACATCTAACAAAGTTGAAATCTTGATTCTTCATAGATTGAGATTTTTGTTTCATAGACTGAGAGTGAATGTGATACCAGGCCCTGGGAAAAATACCCTTATTTTCATAATATTTTTAGTTTACTTCAATGCCATATATTATATCTATTGATACAGGGCATGACATTTATTCTTTCTGGTATGGAACACTCTTTACTCCCAAGATTGTGTGTAATTATTGAGGAAGACACACCTCGGTAACGTGAAATTTGAAGTGCATAGTATGCAGTTTTTGTGTTAGTGTCAAGTCATAATCAGAAAGCCAGGAGACAGGAGCCAAGAAGGGGAAGGTTGAGAGTCCTAGAATGGAATGGCAAGAGCTTCTCAGGTACAAAGGAAGTGGAGGATAGAGAATTTGCACATGAAAGTTGGGAATTTAGGAGAATGCAGATCATATACCTCTGTGAACAGTGAAATCTGTGGCTTGATAGGTGAAGGAGGAGGAACCTCCACTTAACAACATGCAAGGAAGATCCATGTCTTAGAAAAGCCCATAGAGTTAGAGGGAAGATTCTGTTGACAAGCAGAGGTGACAGTGTCTCTCACACATGTCCCTTCTCACCCTCATTTCCTCTGATCCAGAATACAGCAGGGACCTCTTTATGTGGATTCCTCACCTTCAGCCTCCATTCTGCCTGCCGCAGTCATTCATTCTGACCACACCTCTGATTCTGTCTCTTATTCGTTCAAACGCCTTTCTGAGATTGGTGCTGGCTGTGGGATGCTTGGTTTATAATCAACCTGGAAGCCCAATTAATTCTGTTGTCATGCCTGGGTCTTTGCCGATCTCTGTCCCTTTTGTCACACAAATTGCACCTGGAATTGCCCGTACCCCAATACCTGCATACTTATCTCTATACCATATTCTTCTTTTTCACAGGAAGTAATGACGTTCCTACTATGACTTTAGCTTCCATGATGGAAACATGTAACAAGGAAAACTGCTCACCCACGATACCAGCTTCAAACACAGGTCTGTAAAAATGACTCCAGAGCAGTATGCACTTATTACATCCACAGTTATGTTTATTTGATAGAGTTGCTGTTAAAATTTCATGGTAGTTTGAAATAGAAAAATGGAGGCTGAAAGAACCAAGAAGTTTCAAACTAGAGAAAGGATTTATGAATCTGCCATATTATATCCTTAGTTTGTTCCTTCTATTATTTCTACTCATGGTAATTTATCAAACTTACCCTGTCATACAGGCTGTTAAAAATTCTACTACCATATTGCAAACCCATACCTCACTAAGCAAAACCCTTTTAACTGTATCACCTTTAACAAAGGATCTGGAAACGCATGGGCTTAGAATTCAGAAGTCTTGGTTATAACCCTGATCTTGCCACTTTCTAGCTGTCTGTCTTAGACATGTTATGCAAATTCCCTGGACTTTGTTCAGATGGATTGGCAAGAATGGGAAGGAGGGAGGAAGAGACAGAATATGATACTTCCCCTGCTTCCAAAGGAGCAAATGGAACCATGCATATAAAAATCATTTTTAAACTCAGATTGTTCTCAGTAGTTTGGAAACTTTGGCATATGTGAAATTTAATGAGCTATAGCAGGAATTAGTGATCTGTTTCCAGAAGCAGCAACAATTTAGAGTGTATAGGTCTTTAAATAGTTCAAGAGTTTTATATAGGTACTAGAGGCCCAGTGCATAACATTCATGCATGGTAGGGTCCCTAGGCCTGGCTGGCGATCAAGGCAGATCTGTGGTGTGACTGGTGGAGCGATTGGGGGGTAGAGTGAGGAGTGTTGGTACCCACCTTGGCTGGCCTGGTGGCTGGGGGCAGCTCCTGTGTTGAGTGTCATGGCGACCAGTCATTCTGCTGTTCAGTCGATTTACATACTAGGCTTTTATTACATAAGATATGTGTGTGCCTGTGTGTGTGTGTGTGTGTGTGTGTGTGTGTGTGTGTATAAATATATGTGTGTTTGTGTGTGTGTGTATAATGGATTTAGTCTACATTATGCTAATGAAGGACAACATTGGAGTCAGGGAAGATGCAGGAAGAGTTAAGCACAGTGTAAGGATGGATTTCCCCTCTTAAATCTGGGAGCACATTGTCTGGTTATAAATGATATGCCTTCATTCCTGAGTTGCCTTTTCCTTGAGAAGTTGAACTATTGCTTGAAGAAGAATGGAGGGTCCCTTCTACTGACTTAATGTTTAGTGCTTTATACCCTAAAGGGAGAAAAAAGCACAGGGATACATTTGTCCCAGCTGTTACAGGCAGTAGTCACCAAGAACTTTTTTCTTCCCCTACCTCCTGGGAACCCAGTCAAAGCTTCCAAACAATTAACTGGCTCATTCTCTGCTCAAGTAGCTTACTGTGCTCTGGAGTTTCTAAAGTCCTGTTACACACATCCTCCAGTTTCCCCTTCAATTCTTCAGCCTTCTTCACAATTTGCAGCACTGAGTCTTGGGTAAAATTCCAGGGGGAGACGTTGAGGGGTGGTATCTTATTGCGGATAGTGGGATTTGCAATCACACCACACTCTTGACCCCGTAGGTGGCTGACTCTTGGCTAAAATGCCATTCTTCACATAAATGCCTATCCTGTACTTATATGATTGGGAGTTTGGCTATTTCAAGTGTAAAAGCATGCATTTATTTCTGTTTATTTCTGCCAACCTGTAATCCAAGGGCCATTCCATTTTGTCCTGTAAATAAATGAAGAGTTTTCTGGCCAGCTGCTCTCTAGGTTTTAAGTCTCTCCCAGTTCTAAGGTATTACGCATGGTCCAGCTGGTCAGAAAACTCCTCATCTATTCAATTCTGTTAAGCACTATACTCTCTCGTCCTCAAGTTTGATCAGCTATAGAACAGGGGTTGGCAAACTGTGGTCCATGAGGAAATCTGACTTGTCATCTTGGACTAAGAGTGGTTGTAACATTATTTTAAGGTGTTTTTTCCCCCTTTATAAAGAAAGATATGCAGTGGAAACTGTACATGACACACAAAGCCAATTTGTCACCTGACTCTTTAATAGAAAGAAAATTGCCAATCTCTATTCTAAGATATTTTTATTAAAGGTGCTAGAAATTCTGCATAGGACAGTGCTAGGGACAGAGTTTTTAGCTTGCTTCTAGAAACATGCCTTCACACTGACTTAGTCACCATTAGCACAGTTCTTTAGCCACATAGAAATTTGTCTTAAATAGACTATCATTTATCCCATGTTTCTCCATCTTAAAAAAACAACAACACAATTATTAAGCTCCTTGCCAAAGCCCAGATACATAATGTCTCCCACATCCCCAATTTGAGGTTAGTCTGAATGCATGCTGGCCTCTCTTGATCTCTTCTCCTTCCCACACTGTCACTTTAATGATATCCACTTTGGTGTGTTATCTTGGGGACCAGCATCAAGTTCATCTGTGAGCAGCTTGAAGAATCTGTCGCAATCTCAAATTTAGATCTGCAGATGCCTCTGTGCTCTTATCATTATCCATGATTTCTTAAAAATTACAGAGAGGGATTTTGAAAACTTGGACATGGTTTAAGTAGTTGGTTAAATTAAGTCCTATATAATAAAAGCCTAATATGCTAAGTGTCCAGTCGTCTGGTTGTCCATTCAACCAATGAAAGCATAATATGCTCATGATATGCTAAGGCTACTCAACCTCTCACTATGACATGCACTGTCCACCAGGGGAAAGGTGCTCCAATTGGTAGGTTAGCTCTCTGTTGGGGTCTAGCTAATTGGGACTGAGATAGGCTGGACATGCTCTGGAACCCTCTCATAGTCCCTCCTTGGCTGGCCAACCTCCTGTGTCCCTCCCTTGCCCCAATCATGCACTAGTGGGCTCCCTCAGCCTAGCCTATGCCCTGGCACAATCTGGGACCCCTTGGGGGATGTCAGAGAGCCGGCTCCTGCCCAATCCCACAGGCCGGGCTGAGGGACCCCATTGGTGCACAAATTTGTGCAGGGGCCTTTAGTAGCTAGATAAAATTAAATAGTTCAGGATCTGTGGGGCACCTTGAATATCAATTATTATCACCAGGATATGTTTCCTTTTCTATTCAACATTTTTCCTCCTTAACAGAGTATGAAAAATAACGTTTTTTACAATTTAATTTCTTGTTAGCACAAACATTTTAATAACATAGTTCCAACGTATATAGTAACCCTATTCCTGCATTGCTCTTGTATAACTGAATATTACTTAAAGAAAATACACTATATGGTTTGATTTTTAAGAATAGAAAATTACTTTGCCAGTGAACCAACAACAAAGCTAGTGTTCCTCCCACCAGTCTAGAACCATAGCTGACGCATGTGTCTTGCACAGCCATTAAGCTAGTGATGCTCATCCCAGCGTGGGAGCCGGAAGCTCCTGAGGCACCATGAGGTAACTGCTCCTGGAGGGAGGTCTTCCAGGTCAGACATGGTTTAAGCATATCCCAGGTCCTGGCTAACCAGCTCTTATAATTCTGCAGAATTTAGGCTTTCTGCAATTCCCCAGGCACTGATGTTGATTCTCCTCTAGGCATTCTATTGTAATTGTTTCATATGCTATTACTAATGGAGATATTTTAATCTTAACTTTGAAAAACTAAAGTGAATATTTTTGTAAAACAAGAAATTAATTGTCTACACAGTACATTATTTGATGCTGGTAATAGTAATAATTTTTAAAACCTTGTATATTCATTCATATACCAGTATTTGTTGAGCCTATACTATTGGCCAGCCAACATGCTAGGTATTATACTGTTGAGTAAACAAACAAAAATCCTGGCCCTTAATGGAACTTATAAAATAGTGGGGGAAGCATAAAAACAGTTATAAATTATGGTGAGTCCTGTAGGCATCACTATGAGGGGTAGTCATGAGAGAGCCCGGATGTAGAAAGATCAAATAGAAAGGCATTCCTGAGGAGGAATTATTTAAACTGAAACACGAGGTGAGAAGGAGCCAGTCAGGCCAAGAGGAAGGAGAAGTGTATCTGGCCCCAGGGATGCATGAGTCTAGTTCAAGGATAGATGGATGCGACTAATTATCCTCATGTTATAGGTACAAATACCGAAGGACCTTATGTAAGATCACATGGCTAGTAAATCAATCATATCTCTTACCCCAAAGCCTGAACACCAGCCTTCTCAGTTTTATTGCCTCTTAATTACTAAATGATTAATCCCTATAAATTATATTTTTCCTAACCCAAATTTAGAGATTGTTAAAATTCTGCCTATTGAATTTCCTTTCCAAGAATACTTGGATAGATTTTCTTTATGCATATCATATTCTAAAGGCAGTTCCTTAAATATTCTCTCTTATGTGTTTATCAACTGGGATTAATTCCTTTCTCACCCCTGCCTTGGGGATATTTAGCAATGTCTCCAGATATGTTTGGTTGTTGGAACTCTGGGAGAAGTGCTATTAGCATTCAGTGAATAGAGGCCAGGGATGCTGCTAACCATCCCACAATACACAGGACAGCCCCTCCACAAAGGACTATCCATCACAAAATGTCAGCAGTGTTGAGGTTGAGAAAATCTGTCCTTTTACGAAGTCTATTTGGATATTAGTTTGTAACTCTGGACACAAATGTGTAAAAGGCTTCCTATAAAAACCTCTACAACCTCTTACCTAAAATATTACACAAAGAACACCTTCTCTTTTATCTATGGACTGATGGGGACAGCCCTTCTTCCAGGTGTATTGTTCAAGGAGCAAAGTCATCTTTTTTCCTTTCTCATTTTTCAAGGCTATACTTGAGATGGGAATGGTGGGAAGAGGCAGAATGATGGGCAGAGGTGGTATGATTTTTCATGAAAAACTCCCAGTGTGCCACGCCAGCACAGCCAATGGTTCGGTGAGCCTGAGGGAAGGCAAAAAAGACAGACAAAGGGAATAAGCTGGACCTAGGTGGATCTTCTGTGCCTGGCTGAAGCCACAGAATAGATCCAGACTGCAAGCTGAGCCTTTATTTTATAGTCAGAGGTAAACAAAGCAATTTATA